GCCTCCCAAGTAGCTGGGACCACAGGCGCCCGCCACAACGCCCGGCTATTTTTTGGTTGCAGCCGTCATTGTTGTTTGGCAGGTCCAGGCTGGGGATTCGAACCTGCCACCTTAGGTGTACGTGGCTGGCGCCTTAGCCGGTTGAGCTATAGGCGCCTGAGCCTAGGCATGATTTTCTAATTGGGTTGTTCCTTCTACTTTAATAAAGAGGTTTTCCCTCCTTTACCCTATTTTTTTCCCCTGAGAATTACTAGGAACTTGTGAATTGTTTTTTCTTGTTGTTTATTAAGTGTATTATAATCCTTTACTGTCATTTTTCTTTTTGATGTTCAAATTGTTTGAAATTTGGCCAGTGGGCATATGTAAATTTTAATGTAGTAAAATATATATGTCTTTTCTTTTATGATGTGTATGTGTATGTGTGTTTAAGAGACAGGGTCACTGTATTGCCCAGACTAAAGTGCAGTGGTGTGATGATGATAATAGCTTTCTGTAACTTCCAACTCTTGGGGTCAAGGGGTCCTCCTGAGTCAGCCTCTCCAGCAGCCAGAACCATAAGTGTGCACCAGCATGCCCAGATGGTTTCTGAGCATTTTTTGTAGAAATGGGGTCTCTCTATATTGCACAGGCTGGTCTTGAACTCCTGGCCTCAGGGTATCCTCCTGTCTCTGCCTCTCAAAGTGCTGGGGCACACTTCATAGGCACAAGCCACTGTACCTGGCCAGCTTGTGCTTTTTATGTTCTAACTAAAAAGTCCTTCCCTATCCCAAAATTATAAATACGTTTTTTTATATTTTCTTATAAAATTAAAAAGGAAAAAAGGAAGTATTTCTTATATTTAGGTTTTAATCTAGTTTGGCTTTATTTTTATATTGAGTGAAGTAGAGGTCAACTTTCTTTTTCCCCATGTGAATAACCAGTTATCTCAGAACAACTTTTAAATAATAGTTCTTATTTCATGGTTTGTGATCTCATGTGTAAAATAACAAGTTTTCATACATAAGAGAGTCTGTTTCTGGATTCTCTTCTGGTCCATTGGCCTATATGTTTATCTTTGTGCTTATAGAGCAATTGCTGTAACTTAATATGTATACTAAGGCTTGATGTCTTTTAAGATATGGATTCTCCCACTTTGTTTATCAAAGTTGTCTTAGTTATTTTGGCCCCTGTCTTCTTTCATATTAATTTTAGAATTTAAAATCAGCTTGTTAAATTCCATGAAATTCCCTATTGACAGGTTTATTTCTTCCATAAAGGTCTTGCACATCTTTATTTAGACTTACACAGTACATAGAATCTCTGTAAGTTGATACCCAAAGGACTATAACAGGCTGGTCCACATACAGAGATGGTCCACATAGGGAAATAGGCCTATCATACTGATATATACACGTTATACATGTCTGGTGTATGAAAATTAAGCCAACTTAAGGAGATAGTCAATGTAAGAGGTTCTACTGCTTTTT